TGGTCATTTTCGCAAATCCAAAAAAAAGTTGGTTAAAATCGTATATTATAAGGCATTTTCGGTCACTGAAGTTATTCTCTCTATATGATATGAGCCTACCTTTTTTTAAAATTAAAATAAAAAAAAAGTTATTCCCACTCAACCACTATTTTTTCCTTATAAATATTATGGGTAAATTGCAATTTTCATCCAACTTTCTTCTCGCGTTTATTTTCGTAATTAGAGTTTAATTTTTTAAATTTAATCATGAAAGTTTCGAATGCAGTTGTTTTAGTCACTTCTTTATTAAATAGTTAACAAAGTTATGACATGGCAGATGACACTAAAATTACATCATTTTGAAAAGCAAAATTTTACATCAAAATAGCATCGCTTTGGGTTATACAGAACCATGTCCGTTCCAAAAGATAGGTAGATTTTGTGCTATTTTTTTAAAATGAGGCTTATAAAATATTTTATAATAAGAACTAATTTGTCAAATTTGAAATTATGAGGGATATATGATGTATTTTTACCCAAATTATCATAGAAAACGAATAAAGATACTATCAAAATCTTAGTTTGCAACTTTATTTGTCGAGAATCAAACGGAAAGTTCATTTTCCCTTTAAACGAAAATTTCGTTAGGGCACAAAGGTTATATATGTAGGGACGGACGCAAAATTTTATGTTAGGGGTGAACCTCTAAAATTTTAGAAGAAGGATGATTTATAAAATTTCAGGGTGATGAAAACAAAATTTTCAATAAAAAATACAATAAAATTTTTAAAATATATGATATTTAAAAATACTAAAGGATGGCCTCCCCCACCCGCTCTCTTCAAATCTTCCCTATTTACAGGAACGAACCTGAATAATATTCATGCGTGGATCCTCAAATTTAGAGACCATGTGTCGTGTCATAGAATAAACATGCAACAGGACGAGTATGTACATAACCTAATATTCTCTCTTTTTCACTTTTTCATATTTTATTTCTCTTTTTTCATCCTCTCATTTTCTCTCCATTTGTCCAAATTATGCCTACATAGGTCATCATCTAAGGGTGTTTAAAAATATCCGACCCGTCGACCCATCGACTCGTTTAAAAAATATCGAGTATTTATTTTGAAAATATCCAATTTTTCGGGTCGGTACTCGGCTCGTTAAATTATTCAGATTTTTGGGTCGAGCCCGGGCCAAAAAAACTTGCTTAATCGGGTAGCGATAGACCCGATACCCGGTTTATTATATATATATATATATATATATATATATATATATATTATTTTTATATTTTATATTAATTTTTTTATTTATAATTCTCAAATCATTTCACTCTAACATTCAAAATTCCTAATTTCTTAAATTTTATCACCATAACATTCTAAATTCTTAGTATTTTAAATTATTTCATATTAACATTCTAAATTATTTTTTAAAATGTTTATTGTAACTTTGAAACATTTGAAACTTAATTATATTTTTTTATTTTAAGTTTTAAGAAAATTTTCTTTCAATTATGTAATTTGAATTTTTAAATTTTATGTATGAATTATATATTATAGGTCTTTAAATTTTATATTTTTTTAAAAAAAATAATATAAATTAAAAAAAATATTATGAACCAAGTACCTGGATGTAATAAGTTGGGACACGAACTGATATTTTGGTACCAAAAATTTCAAGTACTTGGTATTTCGAGTACCCGAAAATACGAGTTCTCGGTTTTGAACACCCTTAATCATGAATGATGATTCACGACTCCTAAAATTTTTCACCAAAATTATTTGACCCTTCTAAATGCGAATTTGGTGCGTGTTTAATTTAAAAACACTTTTAAACTTTATGAATCTAGTGGCAATATTTCCTTTCTCTTGCGAATCTGCCATTTTTCGATTGCCTTTGAAGGTCAAACCACACACTATGAAGTTCGTTTATAATATCTACTATTCTGACCATCAAATCATGGCGTGCCCAATACATGCTGTTGTCTTAATCTATTAGGACTCTTCTATCATTAGGATCGGAGAATGAATACTTTGGTCATCACTCAACTTTTTCTTCCCTTGTTTTCATTTTTCCTTGATGTTTTCATGGCTTCTCTTTTATAGGTAAGTGTTTTGATTTGGTTAGGGCAAAAGGTGTCGGATTAGGGTATAATCTTGGTTCATGTTGAAATAGGGAAGAATTTAGTTTAATGGTATGATAGTAGGATGGAGTTTAAGGGCTTTTGGGCAATGGTTGATAATCAATTTAGTCTTAGCATAGATAGATCACTTGGTTTAGGGTTTAGGGTTTGTTAGTGTTTCAATGGATATAGTGTGTCGTTTATGTTGAAGCCGGTGATAAAGTGGGCAGAGGTTTCTAGTTTAATTGGGATTCAATTGAAATGAAGGTAAAACTTTAACTCAAGGATTGTAATAAGGTGATCTAAATATTTTTGGGATCTAACAATCGATACTAACGGTTGACGTGGTGATCGATCACGACAAGCGATCTGAGTTGGAGCTTACGTGCCTAAAGATTTTAAAATAAGAATTGTCACCAAAAAATAGATGAGAAAATGGAAGAGTGACCAAAGGAATTCAATGTCTAAAGTTCAGTGATTAAATTGAATATTTTTGAACTCTAATAACCAAGATAGGAATAAGAGTAAAACTGAGTGATGAAATTTGCAATTTATCCAAATATTATTAGCATCGACGGAATAAAATACTAGCAGTTCCTTCGGTGGAAATGATGTGAGAATTGAGGAATTTGCAAATGAGGTTTCTGCTTTGTTCTTCCAACTGTTTCATAACTTATATTCCAATGCGTGTTGTACCAAAACAACTAAGAATAAAAATTAATACATGATTTGTTTTCGACATTAATGCATAATTGTCATTATTATAAATATAAGTTTTTATTAATTTAAGTTAATATCTTTTAAATATTTTTGCTTTAAATATAATAAAATTTGAATGTCTTTAATTTAGAAGTGGGAAAGTTAACGAATACTTTATATATTGTAAAAAAATTGTTATTTAGGAGAATAAAGTAATATTATTTTTTTAGTAGAAAGTAATACTACTTTTAATACAAGTAATATGGTGTATTTAATATGAGTTAATTGCATCATGCATCTTCAAATTATGATCTATATTCTAAATCAGTCCCTAACTTTTAAAAAATCTAAGTTCATACCTAAACTATGACTATCATTCTAAATTAGTCCTTAAACTTTTTAATATTTAAGTTTCATCCCCAAACTCTAACATTTATTCTAAATCGGTCCTCAAACTTCTTGAACATTTCATTTTCATCCCAAACTATATGTATATACTAATCACATCTGTTGTTAATAAAATTGTTAGCCCAAGTTATATAATCATATCTTTGAAAAAAAATAAAATTTAGGCTGAACTGTGGTTGGAACTAATTGCATATTTGGATGAATTTGATGATGAAATTCAAAGATTTAAAATTTTGGGGGACCAATTTAGAGTGATGATTATAATTTGGGGATGAAATTGGAATGCTCAAAAGTTTAAGTATTAGTTTAGAATAAGAGTAATAGTTTGCGGATGAAATTAGAATGTTCAAAAGTTTAAGGACCAATTTAAAATAAAGATCATAGTTTAGTGACATATGGTGCAATTAACTTATTTAATATATTATATTTTCATTAAGTCTTATTTACACTAATCTATTTGTTATATATAGTTCAATATCCTTCATAAGATTTATATATATTTTTTAATTCAAGGGTTATATTGCATGTTTAGCAAGTTAAATTTTGATTCAATTAAAATATTTTTATTATTACATTTATGTTAAAAAATAATTAAATGGTCAAAATAGAAGAAAAGTGATAGTTGAGGTACTAACATGTGGTTTATCCTATATATTTTTAGAATTATGGACCAACATTTTCTTACGGGCTATAAGAGATAAGCATCAATCACCTAGAATTCCAGAAAATAATCAAAGAGCAATCAAAGGGATAAATTTCAAGTCATGGGATTTGTTTATTTATTGTATGCGACTTGTGGTAATGATTATTAAATATGGTGAATATAATGTAGTATATATTTAATAACTTTCAATCATTTGATAATGAATGTTTATATCTATACATACACGGTGCTAAAATTAAGACCTCAAGAAACAACAATAATTTCCTTAATCACTAGAATCGCTTGGTTAAAGCATATAATATGCATATAATTTTAGAATATGAATATAAAAAATAGTTTGATAATATGATTTTATCACTTAAGAAAAACATGCATGTGAGTTATGAATGTATTACCTACATTTCTACTAAATTTAAAAAAAATGTTAATCAAAATCATTTGGTGGTTCAATTATTATCCAAATCCACACTTATCATCATTAAAACAATTAATCAAATATAACAATAAGATCCTAAAAACAATTTATTTATAACGTCTTATGTCGCAGTTAAAAAATATACTAGAATAGAGAAAGTTTTGTTATGAAAATATGAATAATATCATAGACTCTGGTTCTCTAAATGTCGATTTCGATCCTAATATGGTGATGCAAGCATGAATACAACCAAATAAATACATAAAATGATATAACAGAAGAAAATGCAACACTCTGGTTAAAGGAAAGCCAATGAGTATTGACAGAAGACACTTTAAACCGCATTCTTATAGTTTTCTCATTCTTTTTTATATAGCATCATTATCTGTTGAGGGCAGTGTTTCACCCCTTTGACAAACTCTTCAGGAAATTCAACGGCTGAAGCTTCAAGCCAAATTGACAACACAAGGACTGCAACTAAACGAAAACTCATTCCTCCAAGGTCAGAAAGTATGGTCTCAATTTACTAAGTTTGTTAATAGTGATGGTAAAAATAAGTATTGTGATAAAAGAATTTTGTTGTGATGAAACAAATGGAATTGGGTCATTGATATATCATATGAAGTAATGTAAGAAAAATCCTAAAAATATTGTTGACACTAATCAAGGTCATCTAGTGTTACCTAGTAAGGGTTAGGACATCCAGTGTTCCTCCGTGCCCCAAAAACAAGTATGCAAACTGAACACATTCTGAGGACAACTTCAATTGAAAGTGTAGAGAAAAGATTCGTATCTGTTTAGGAAAGTCTAGATCAAACATTATCGGGCCAAAATTCCCTAAAAAATGCACGCTCAAATTCCTTTTCTTGCATTTGCTTTTCCTGTTCTTGCATCTTCCGCAACCTTTTGGAAAGTGCCTTGGTCTTCTTTCTTGATGTTTGTTCCTGAATTTCATACAAATTATGAGTTAACCAGCAACTCCATAAATTCTGAGCCATCAAAACGTTAATATCTATCTCAACAAAACTACCATTGGTATTGCTTATTTCATACCAAGCAATGGTATTTTTCAACACTAATCATATCTCGTTTTGCTATGTATATCATATTTACTGTTTCTCTCGTATGAACATAAACATAAGACATAAGAAATGTATCAAAAACCTTAAACACAAGTATAATATGTGTATCAAATGTATCAAGTTACTCAATCTCAATATGGCGTAGTGTTCGTTGTTGGTAATTTGTTAGCAGAAAACGTGATTAGTGCAGCACCAACATAAAATAAATATCACACACAAGAGATAATATTTAACAATATTAATGTAGTTCACCTTCAGATGCCTACATCCACGAATTGAGAGAAAAATTATCATAGGCATAGATAACAAAGAGTTCAAAACAAACAACAGACAAAAACCAAACTGAGCCCCAACCAAACCCAATTTCTATGCTCCTAATGTTTATCACATAGAACATCCCAATAACCAATGTTTTTACCAAAAACTTTTTCTAACATTCATAAAAAAAAACCATCTCCCGTACATAGACCCATAAGAATCACCCCTCTCATAATTCTAAAGTTATGACTTACTCCATATTGATAAAGCCTATGACTTGATCACTAAAAATTCTTATTCCCTAAAATGTCTTGCCTGATATGATGAATATATAGATATTAAGTAAACTTAATCACTAATTTATCTTCAACCAATAAAATACACTAGAATCTGAGTTGATTTTAGAATTTAGATAAATATCTAACATTTATTGCACTCTTTTTATGAATGATTTTTTTTTTTTTCGTATCAAGTTCAAAATTCCACTTTTTCCATTTAGCAACTAGCTAAGGGAAACATATAGTATATATTGCACTAGCTCTTTGTTCTTCTTAAAATACTCATCTTTCACACATATTAAAACAAAAATGCGAGGCACCATAGGCAAACCTAGGGATCATGCAGGGGCCCTTGGTTCCTTTAAACACTTAAATATAATAGTTATCGCTTGTTTAAAATCCGAGTAAATCATATTTTGACTCCAAGACTATATAATTCAACCTCGGACCTACAGGGTATGATCCTCCAAGTACATGAACAAACTTACAAAAAAAATTGAGCACACCATGTTGGACACATACCAAATTAACCCTACAACTGGGATAGCTTATAGTGGTATTAAAAAAATGAAAGTCACCTCATCATTTATGGCTTTGGATTCACCATGATCAGTAGACTTTGGTGTTTTTCTCTTCTTCTCTGCTCCAATTCCTTTTTTATTGTTCTTCACATATGCTTCTACAGGCTCCAACCTACCCTAGTAACATGAAATTAAAAAATCCATAAATCAGATGAAAAGAATATTTTAAAAGCATTTCTTCTTAGAATTAAGGAGAAGAATTTAGGGTTTCAAAGACGAATCAAACCTGCTCAGAAACACCAAGACCAGTGCCTTCTTTCCATCCATGCTTCTTTAATAGCTGCCAAAAACCAAGTCAATAGGCATTAAAACACGAATATATAAGGAAAACGTTACAATAAAAACCCGAGAGTTGAAAGAGAGGAGAGAGGTTGAATACCTGGAAGCCGATGTTGGAGGAATCAATGGCGGTTGATGAACCGCTCGAACCTAACGTTTCTCCCATCGCTTTCCTCCCGGACCAGTAATTTCAGCGAATTGAGGTTTTCCCTTTTACCCCTTTTTTATTCCCAATTCTGTCCTATGTTGAGAATTGTGTAGGCTTTCGAAGAAGAAGAAGAAGAAGAAGATCCCGATTCAACAATTTCGAATTATTTGCGCTGTGTTTGTTTTGTGGATTTAGGCCAACCCACAAGCCGGAGTTCACTTAACAATAAGAATTTTTGCAGCTTCCAGATAAATAAAAGCCCATCGGCCCAATCACAGAATTTTTATTGAAAGTGTGACAGCTTTTCTTTCCCGCTTTTAATGCTTGCTTTTTCAGGGCAACAATAATTGGCGGAGTAATTAACACTATGGTTGTAAACGAGTCGAGTCAAACTCGAGTATTGTTGAACTCGACTTGACTCAAAAATTCTGAAATTGACCTCGATTCGAAAACTCGCGAGTTTAAAATTTTTAAGTTCGACTCGAATTCAAAATCCTGAACTGAAGCTCGTGAACAGTTCGAAAAGGCTCGAAATAAAAAAAAAAATTAAACTTAACTCGATTAAAACCTCAAACTCAAACTCGAACATGAACCTTAAATACGTGAAATCTTACTGTATTTTTAAAAAAAAAATCAATACATAAATATTAATATTATTATTAATTTATTTTTTTTAAATAAAATCTTAATATATTATATTTTCGAGCTGCTCACGAGCTTTTCGAGTCGAATATCGAATAATTCGTTTCAACTCGTTAAGAACTCGAGTCGAGTTCGAGTTCAAGTCAAATTCATTTGATCCAAATATTTATCGATCTTTGATCGAGTCGATCTCGAATACATCGTGTATCGAATCTTTTCGAACCTTAAATCCTAAAGCCAACAGAATGTATTGAATCTTGTGAAACCAATTCCATGGCCGCTTTCGGATTTCCAAACACTTTCTCTTTCACAAAATCTTCTTTTTCAAAGTCATTAACGACCGGTATCCATGAAAGGATTCTTTTAGTTTCACCTACTTCCGGTAAAAACACCCTAAATACTTCCAACTACAGTACCCAGATTACCCTCTGTGCTCCTTCAAATTCTCCACTTTGGACTGTCACCGACATAGCGGAAGCCGTCGATGGTAGGGTTGTAAAATGGGGTCATCCAGGAACCATTTGTACGGATACCAGAACCATTGAACCCGGCCAATGGTTCTTTGCCATTGCTGGTCAAAACTTCGACGCCCATGATTTTGTAACCCTTGAATTATCCAGAAGTGGGTGCGTCGGGTTATTGGAAATCGCGTTTGCGAGAATTGGGAAATGGGGTTCGTCCAGATTGACGGCGACACCGTGATTTCATTGCTCAAAATGGCAAAATTTGCTAGGAACAGGCTTCTTGGTAAAGTTATAGCAGTTACTGGAAGTGTGGGGAAAACTACCACAAAGGCTATGATAGCTCTTGGTCTCGAGAGTTTGGGGAGCGAAGTATATCAGACTTATGGGAACTGGAATAATAGGATAGGGGTTGCCTTGTCATTGATTGGGGTTCCTAAGAATGTGGGGATGACAGTTTTGGAGATGGGAATGGATCGAAGAGGAGAGATATTGGAATTGGCGAGGATGGGGAGGCCTGATATTAGAGTGATTCTTAATGTGGGAGCTTCTCATTTGGGAAACCTTGGTAGCTTGGAGGAAATTGCAATGGCTAAAGGGGAGATTTTGGAAGAAGCAAGGCCAGGAGATGTTTGTGCTCTGAATTCTGATGATCCTCTTGTCATGAGCCTTCCAGTTCCTCCAGGAGTTACAAAGGTAAGATAGGCCTATATCCACGTATTTAAATTGCGGTTGCCACTTCATCACTGCATTTTAATGAATGTTATTGCATTCATTGCGGGAATAATGGCCCATTATTGCTGCAATCGGCCGCTATCCCGTGATCCACCACCATTAGTGTGATTCTGCATCACACCACTATTTTCCGCAATAGCGGTTCCGGCGGCCGCCACCATCGCTATATGGTGGCCGTAATTCCGCTACTGCTATTTGAATCCCTGTCTATACCATCATACTAATAGTGTTCTTCACTAAGCTACTTTTTTAAAATTTCAACAGTTCTTGTTCATGTTAAACTATTGGAAATTTGGAAAGATATAACATTGTACGTGTGAGGTTGTTGATTATGTTAGGTGCAGCATTAGTGATAAATTTGTTATTGCATTGGCATTGTCTTATGCTTTCAATATTCGAAGTAAGAGTCACACTGTATATGGTGCTAACACTTTGGCTCTGCCCCTCTTCTTCTAGCAATTATTTACTGAATTTTGTTTCATTTAGCATGCTTTGAAATGGTTTCACGATAAAAAGACGTTTGGCTAAGTCTTGGGAGTTGGGACTATCTAAGCTGTACTTTTTCTCCAGTGAAGTCAATCCTCCTAGTCATTAGTGGAGTTGCTATGTTTTATCTATCATCTTGGTGTGCATTTACATTGAATTCGTTATCTGGCCCTGCAATTTGACTTTTTCCTGTGCAACAGGTGCTTTTTGGTCGCAGCTTGGAGAGTGATGTTCGGCTGGTAGTAGCAGAAAGCGTTTGTGGTGGTCTTGGTGTTCGAGTTGTCTTGCAGAAAAATATGGAGATGTAAGTTTCTTGTAAGGCTCACTCATTATTAAAGTAATGAGGTTTTCATAATGCACTCTTGGACCAATGAGTAATTGCACTGAGTAGATCCTTGCTGAACTATTTGGGGTGATTCTTGGTTGATTTGAAAACACCTTTTTTCACAGGACCTGAGCATCCAAACATAGCTTAAATGGAATTCAGAAAGCACTATTTAGGATAGATTATTTATTGACTTTTGGATAAGCTGATACAGGAAAACATGACCTTTTTCATTGTTCTTTTTAATATAAAATCTAAATGAAAGAAACAAGTAGTCTCATTTTATGGTCGAACTTGAAATATTACTTGCTCTGAAATCCACTTTTCAAAACTGAAGTGAATGGTCAGTGGGTGCCAAGGATTATCCTTTACTTTTCAATATGTTCATTAGCACATTCAAACGTGTCGGGCTAATTGTATTGGAAAGTAACGGAGAGAAAAAGTAAGAGAGGTGAGCCCATATTGGCAAATAAGTTGTAGGGGCTAGGACTCAAATTAGAAATCATTTGTATGATCAATTGTAAAAATTGCTCACCTTATTCTCTGGATAAGCTGAATGTTTCCAAATTGCTCCCCTTCCTGAACTTGTGATTTGATGTAGATGATATTCATGTCGAATTCTGACTTGTGATTGCTTTTCCCTACAATTTTTTCCTCAACTTTTCCTTATCAACAACCGTTTTATAAGACCAAAACTTGCAGAATGTTTTGGTTTGTAGTTTGTGTTTCTTTTCTTACCTAGGATTGCATCCTTATTTTGATATTTTCTGTCTAAGTTTTAGTTTCTTTTCTCATCATTCATTAAGTCTCATATTTCTTTGTTTGATTTTTAAAATAAATATAAACCACTTGAAGCTATTTATGCCCTGGATACACAAATAGCTTATTGAATTCATATCCAGGGTGGAGTTTGTGATTCCTGGTCTGGGTCTGCATTTGGCTCTCAATGCATGTGCAGCAGCTGCAGTTGCAACCTCTATTGGTGTACCCCTTTCTCAAGTTGGAAGATCCTTATCCAGATACGTTCCCGTTAGCATGAGATCCGAGTTCATTGTAGCTAAAAGTGGCATCAAAATAGTGAATGATGTTTACAATGCCAATCCTGTTAGCACCAAAGCAGCCGTTGACATGTTGCGAAGGATCGATTGTGATGGAAAAAGAGTTGCTATTCTTGGAGATATGTTAGGACTTGGTCCACTTGAGTTGGAGTTTCATGAGGAGATATTGAATTACTGTCTTGGTGCTCATATTGATTTAGTTGGCGTTGCTGGGAAGAGGTTTCATTTAGCAGCTGATCATATGAATTTAATGAAGAAGATGAAAATTGTACATGCAATTGATTCAGAAAATCTTGTTCCCAAAATCTTGAAGTGGTTGAATATGAACGATGTCGTCTTGGTGAAGGGTAGCCGTGGCATGCAAATGGAGAAAGTTGTCGATGCACTTTTGGCAATGCCGAGGCTCACTCCACCGTTAAGTTCGGAGAATTGGGATTGAAGACAAGAACAGGTATAAAACTTTTGATAAAAACAACGGATCAGGAACTAAACCCGGACCAGTGTTCGTTGAAGAATGCGTCTAAGCGTGCCTCGCCTCATGATTTAGTGTTCGACAACAAAAACGTCTCAGACCCTTTCGGACAAGACACGGATGATAGGTTTATTCCTCTTGTAAAATTTTGTAGCTGAAGTGTTTTTTTGGTATTGCCGGCACTCCTGAAAGTCGGACAATCCATTTGATGCCATATAAACAACTTTGTTGGATTCATTGAAGATTCAAGATCTGGCTCCTAATGTCATATTGTATGGTGATTTTTGAAGTTGACAAAACCGGCTTCGGATTCTTTCATTGCTTTGTTTCTTTAATGTTAAGCAATAGCTTTCACTAACAAAACAAAGCCTTGATGTTCCTGAAAGTCCTACTGTCCATTCATTTCCACCTCACCATTACATTTTGAAGGGCTTCCTCGCCGTATAAGGCGTTGGAAAAGAAAATCCTTGTATAGGGCTTCCACCAAATCATTTCCTAAACCAAGTTGTTTTCTACCGTCTCAAGAGAAAGACGTATGTCTTCCATTTTGTAGACGCTTTATAGAGCAAAAGAAAAAAATGGTCGGTAGGGTGAAGACGTGCAACAATCTTGAGGTCTTCTCCAAATTACTATTCCAAACACCCTAGTCTGAAAAATAATTGTTTGAATGGACTATTTGGGGATTTTTTTCAAACACAATATAACAATAATTTTCCCCGATTTGAAGATTAAAAAAGGAAAGTTAAAAAGAGTGTATTCCAGATAAGCACATGGATTGTTTCGTCACTCCTTTCATCACATTTTCAACTTTTGACTGATAATCAACATCTTTGTTGGGGAGTGTTTGATCAACTGTTTATGTTTATTTATTAAGCTAAATAAATTAATATTAATAAAAAATTTATATTCCTTTAGTGAACTAACGAACATGAATAAAAATGTGTTCGGTTCATTTATAAACTTGTTTACTCTATTCTCTTTTTCCTTTTGTTACATTTTAAATATTGATGAAGATAGATACTAAAATGAATATAAGATGAATTTTGGAGGTAAAACTATAAGTCTAATGAGTTTAGGACTAATGACATAATTTCAAAATATGTTCGCGAACACTAAGCAAACATGTTGACAAATATATGAATGAATATATTCATGAACGTTAAATGAATTGAACAAAATACCTTCAAGAAAATAAACAAACAAGAACACGATATTAAAAATTTAAAGGAATAGAACCAAACAGAAACATTTTCAAAAATATATAAACGAATTTGTATCCAAAAATAATAAGTCAACAAATACGAACACTGTCTTATTTGTTTAAACCTTCTTAAACTGTTTAAAATTTCAGATCACCATCTTTAAATAATTTGAACCTGAAAACCCATGCCTAAAAATATAAAAAGTTACATGAAATGATTTAAAAAATTATCTCAAATTGGAATTTGATTTCAATTAAAAACAAATCTGAAAAATAAAAAATTTTACATGCCACGTGTAGATGAGATCTCACATAGTGTATGCCTAAGAATTTGAAGCATGAGTGAGTATCAAGTCACTGCATTTATCAAATTATAAAACTTTTGGTTGGCAAATGGCAAATGGGTGTTCCCTTTATCTTAGCAGTAGACATCAGAAAGGTGCAATGCCAACTCACGAAGTTTCAATCCCACGTCCTCTCCATGTCTGTTTCTGTTAGCAATTCAAATCAAAATCTGGGCAATTTCGTTAGGCATTTTGTTAAAAATCATTTCTTGGAGTTGGACTCAACTTTCTTTTTCTTAAAGCAACCAAATCTTATCATCAATAAAGTTACCCCATTTATATCCCTTTAAATACCATTTGCCAATCTACAACATTCAACAAGATTCCATGAAAACGAAGAATCAGTTACTTGAACAAGTTATCGGAGTTCCAATGAAATCAACTGTATATCGAGTCTAGAGAACCCCGAGACGATACTTACCTGATCCACAAGGGTCTGAAACATTGAGAACAGGTAGGTTATGCTTGTAACATCGTAATTTGTATGGAAAAATTCATACTGGAGATGCTTTCAGTGCTAATGTGGAAGTTTTGGATATTGCAGGCAAAGGGAATTTTGTAATTAAAAGGATGAACAAGCTAGGGAAGAAAGCTGGTATTTTGGCTCATGGAATCTGAGAGCATGGTAAGAAACACTCTTATTGTTACGAAAGACGGTTATCGGATAGAGCAAAATCGCAACTGATAATTTGAGAAAATAAAAATGAAGATAAAGAAGACACACATTTTACGTGGAAAACCCCTAAATAATATAGGGTAAAAACCACGGGCAACGGTAGAAGAATTTCACTAAGAGAAAATATGAATTACAACTTCTCTCGATCTAACAAGGAGAAAACAATAATAATTTTCACTTGATAAAAAGGAGAAAACAACTCTCAAGAAAACTCTCTAAATTCTCTAGTATTGGGAGAAAGCTAGAATGATTCGGGATGGTTTCGAAGCTAAATGAGGTAGGGTATTTATAGTTGAAGTTTAAGGACTAATCTTATAAATACCCTAAAGTCTAGTGACTAAAGTTGCAATTTTACCATTGCAAAAAAATCAACAATTTGGTGCCAATTAATGCACATGCACCGAAAGTTTTTTTTTCAACTTTCCACCGAAAGTTTGCCATCAATTTGGCCACTTGAATGTTGACTTTTCAACAATCTCTCACTTGAATATTTGATTGGAACAATCATATCTTCACACCATTCTTTCTACCTTGTATCATCATGTTGCTTACGTCTCTGACAAGCCACAAGTCTCTGACAAGCCACAACAGGATCGATACCAGGTAAATTTATCAGCATTGATTGCCTTCGTCATGAAATCTGTTATGTTGTTTTTGGTATGGATTTTCTGCATATCTATCGTCCCTTCTTCCACCTTTTCATGAATGAAATGGTACTGAACTCGTATGTGCTTTGTCCTTGAATGAAATGTTGGATTCCTTGCTAGATACAAGGAGCTTTGACTTTCACAAAATAGAGAGACATACTCTTGATTGTGCCCAAGCTCCTCCAATAGCATCTTTAAACAAATTGCTTCTTTACTGGCTTGTGTAGCTGCTACATATTCTGCTTCTGTTGTGGATGTAGCCACAACTGATTGCAATTTTGAAACCCAACTTACAGCTCCACCAGCAACTTTGAACATATATCTTGTTATAGATTTAATTTTATCTAAATCCCCTACATAGTCAGAATCGACATACCCATTGATTAGTAAGTTTGATCTTCCGTAACATAATGCAATATTTGAGGTCCCTTTGATGTATCTCAAGATCCTCTTTACTGTATTTCAATGCTCTTTGCCTGGATTCGCCATGTACCGACTAACCACTCCCACTACTTGTGCAATGTCTGGTCTTGTGCATATCATAACAAACATTAAACTTCCCACTACCGATGCATACGGTACTCGAGACATCTCCATCCTCTTTTCTTCACTGTTAGGACTCATACTGGAGGATAATTTGAAGTTAGTAGGAAAAGGGGTAGAAATTGGCTTACAATCTTGCATGTTGAATCGTGACAATATCTTCTTCAAGTAATTCTTTTGTGAAAGCCAAATCTTCCTATTACTTCTGTCTCGGTGAATTTGAATCCCTAAAATCTTGTTTGCTGATCCAAAGTCCTTCATTTCAAATTCCCTAGCCAGTTATGCCTTCAATTCTTCAATATGATCTTTGTTGGGTCATACAACCAACATGTCATCCACATACAACAACAATATAACAAAATCGTTATCACCAAACCTCTTAAAATAAGCACAATAGTCTGTATTAAGTCTGTTGTATCCAAGACACATAATGAAGGAATCAAATCTCTTATACCAACACCTCGGGGTCTGTTTTAGACCGTACAGAGATTTGTTCAACCTGAAAACCAAGTTCTTCTTTTCTTTTTCTTCAAAACTTTCAGGTTGGAGCATGTAAATCTCTTCTTCAAGATTTCCATGAATAAAAACTATTTTAACATCTAACTGCTCTAGATGTAAATTCAATGTAGCACACATTTCCAAGACTATTCGAACTGTTGTTAGTCGAACCACAGGAGAAAAGATTTCATTGAAATCAATACATTCTTTTTGAGCATATGCTTTAACCACCAGTATTGCACGATACCTCTCAACTTGATCGTCACCATTTCGCTTGATTTTGAAAACCCATTTGTTACCAATCGGCTTCCTTTCTTGTGGTAGTGGCACAATATCCCATGTATTATTTTTATGAGGGCTTCAATTTCTTCTTGCATCGCCATCATCCACAGTGAAGCATCTAAGCTGTTTATTGCCTTCTGGAATGTTGATGGCTTACTGTCCTCTGTTAAAAGGTAGTATGCAATATTTCCTTCTATGACATAATTTGAGTTCCAATTGGGATGTCTTATCACACGATCTGATTGACGAGTTGTTGGAGCTTTAGAACTCTCTGGTTCTTGTTCATCATGTGCTGGTTCTGCTTCAGAAGAACCTCCTTGTTCAAACTCCTTTTCCACATGTATCTGTGTAATCTCTGACTTTTCAGCGCTATCATCGTCTTCTTTTCTTTGTAGTTTATCTTCCACAAAGATAATATCACTGCTGATGATCACTTTGCGGGAAGTGGGATCCCACAAGCGATAACCCTTTACTCCATCAACATACCCCAAGAATTTGCATTTCTTGGCTTTTTTTTATCCCAAATCTCCTTAGTTGTCTTCTTCTCCTCAATGCTTGACAATACTTCATCTGCTAATGTTAGATGAAAGTTTGTCATAGTATTCTCGTCTATCTCATTCCATTTACTGTTATCTGTGAAATCTACTGGTCTTTCACTGATAGCCGCTAGACACCCGTCTTTCCTTAGGACGACCTTCATCTTTAATTTTCACAATAAGAAATTTCTCCCATTAAACTTTTCAATATCAAATTTCGTTGACATAGCTTCTATTACGGATAGCTCTCATTATTTCACTATAGTGAATAGTTCTCTTGAACCTTCAAAGAATGGGTAATACCTTCTTACTTTCTTATGTTAGAGGATCCACCTTTTGGTGGCAACCACAAAAACAATAAGTAGATATTACACACTATAATTTGGCTCTTGATACCAATTGTTACGGAATACGGCTATCGGATAGAGCAAAATCGCAACTGATAATTTAAGAAAATAAAGATGAAGATAAAGAAGACACAAATTTTACGTGGAAAACCCCTAAATAATATAGGGCAAAAACTACGGGTAACGGTAAAAGAATTTCACTAAGAGAAAATATGAATTACAATTTCTCTCGATCTAACAAGGAGAAAACAATAACAATTCTCTCTTGATAAAAAGGAGAAAACAACTCTCAAGAAAACTCTCTAAATTCTCTAGTATTGGGAGAAAGCTATAATGATTCGGGATGGTTTCGAAACTAAATGAGGTAGGGTATTTATAGTTGAAGCTTAAGGACTAATCTTATAAATATCCTAAAGTCTACTGACTAAAGTTGCAATTTTACCATTGTCAAAAAATCAACAATTTGGTGCCAATTAATGCACATGCACGGAAAGTTTTTTTTTCCAACTTTCCACCGAAAGTTTACCATCAATTTGGCCACTTGAATGCTGACTTTTCAACACTTATGCCATCTCTATCGTTAACTGTATTTAACATTCACATGTCAAAATGGAAGCCGAAGTTATTTGTTTGTTATTTTTGAAACTGTAGTGAGATTGGGGCCAAAGATGAGTGAAACACTGAAGGGAAAATTTGAGTTTGGGGGCAAGAATTCTTCAAGTGGGAGGTGTGGAGAAGATTTTCAAACAATTATTTAGTGTTACTGAAGGAGAGAAGTTGGTTAGGCTTGTCAATGCTATTTATCGACAACATCCGGTCCTATTGCAGGCCTTCTTTTCATCTCCACTGCAAAGGTGGCCTTTTCAGTGATAGATCCATTAAAATATCTTCCCCAAATGGAGAATCTTTCAAAGTACATTACAAGCTTTTGATTCCAATTGAGAAAATAAAGGGAGTGAACCAGAGTGAAAACATGAAGAGACCAAGGCAGAAGTATATGGAAATTGTGGCAGTTGACGGCTTTGATTTCTGGTTTATGGGTTTCTTGAATTACAAGAAAGCTTTCAAGTATCTTCAACGGGCAATCTCCCACAGACTAGATGATGTACAAGTCACTTTCTAGGTGGCTTACGGTCAGGAATATGTAGCATCCGTCTTCATCAGCTTGATGAAAGGAGGAAGAAAACATCGGCCCTGGAAATGTAAAAAGTTTCTGTTGATTCAAATACATGACCCTCAATTCTTCAATCATGTTTAGGGGAAGGATACTAATTTGTTGTGTGTATTTGATTAACAAGTGGGGGCATTTTTAGTTGTTTGGTTGCTAGTTACTCCGTTCAAGGTGCTAACACATCCTTTACCATGGCCGAATACAAATGAATAGGGATGGAAAAAGTAATATACATGCAAAATACATATACCCGAGAAATAATAAACACAAGCTCTATGCATCAAATGTGCAAGACCCCGGAAAGTAATTGCTAAAAGCCCTTATCTCACTGTCTTTTGAAACCTGGTCGATATTGGGGCAATATCAAGTGATTCGCATACACGGAACGACATCCGGCACGCTTAAACCATCAGTGAAGTTTACATTACACTGTTAAGTAGGGGTGTAAACAAGCCGAGTCGAGTTCGAGTATTGCAAAGCTCGACTCGACTCGAAAACTCTGAAATGAAGTTCGACTCGAACTCGAAATCCTAAACTGAAGCTCGTGAGCAGTTCGAAAAGGCTCGAAATGAAAAAAAAAATCTTAAACTTAACTAGATTGAAGCCTCAAACTCGAACATGAATCTTAAATATATAAAAGTTTTACTATATTTTTTAAAAAAAAATCAACACATAAATGTTAATATTATTAATAATTTATTTTTTTTAAATCTTAATATATTATATTTTCGAGCTGCTCACGAACTTTTTGAGTCGAATATCAAGCAGCTCATTTCGGCTCGTTAAGAATTCGAGTCGAGCTCGAGTCGAGTTCATTCGATCCGAGTATTTATCGAGCATTGACCGAGTCAATCTCGAATAGCTCGCGATCTGTCTCGTTCATTTACAGCCCTAATGTTGAGGGAAATTCAATCCAGCTCCATCACGACCAGCCTTAGTTACATGGGACCGGGGGGGCAGGACTTATTCCAAAGAATTGCTTTGATTCAATACCATACCTTTGGATAAGGAGAATGTTGAGAGAAAAAAAAGTTGAATTACATCGATAGATTTCATATTTATATTAAATTCAGGAGGAAATATATGTTTAATAATTAAATTAAACAATATTATTATCTATTTAAATTTATATATTAAAAGAGTTTTGGTTGGTGTAAAACTCTCAAGTTTAATATTATAAATTTAAAAGATATTATAATTTGTTTAAATTTAGATATTAAAAGAGTTTTGGTTAGAGTATGATGCAGAGGGATCCGAGACAGATGATGCTGAGCTGTCAGATTACACCTTGATGGCTCTGAGATACCATGAGTTGGCAGATCAACGCAAATGTGGGAATTGATTGTGATATGTTCTTCATTAGGGCCGTTTTGAGTGTACTTCAGTCTTTTGGTCATAACTTTGGCTACGGGTGTCAGAATCACGCATAAAACCTCAATCCGGAAAGCTCTTTTCGACACGCATGCTGTCCACAGTGAGCCATGCTCTATGTGGCCTTTTTTCGACCTCAAATTCTGCCCTTTTTTCCTCCGAATCATTAGATTTAGATATTTTTTACTATTTATGGTAATATTTCGATTGTCAATTAGGAAGTCATTTTAAATCCGATTTCGGCCGGATTTTTTGCATATTGCTTATTTTATTTTGAATTTCAATTTAGATTGATTCTCGGGATTTTGATATTTTTGATAAAATTCTAATAAACAAGATTTTTGGCTATAACAGTCCGGCTTATGGACTAATTTTGGATAGTTTTGATTTTATAATATTTTATTAAACTCTAGAGACTTTTTTCTCTGGTTTTTGGGCGAATTTTCTCTTGTGAATCATCTGTTGGAACTAGCCTACAGGATAATCGATATTCTGTCTGGCGTCAGAGTAAAGCTTTCAGATTTAATATTTTAAATTTAAAAGATATTATTATCTATTTTTAGATATTAAAAGAGTTTTAGTTGGAGTAAAACTCTCTCGAAAATCCCCTATAAATACTGAGCAATCCTCTCAGCTTTTCATATCTCAGAATTCAAGAAGTATTCTTCACTTGAAAAATATTTTTCTCCCTTAGTTTTTCGGTGATAGTCAAAGGCGAGGAAAGTTTGTGATCTCTACTGTTGTGCAATTATAGTTGATCATTAAGTTGTTGTATCCTGGAAGACAAATGACCAAAAGATCTCGAGCACTAAGGAGTGGCCGAAAATCTATCTTAAAGAAACTATGTAGCGATAGACCTCAACTAATTCCGATCACAAGATCAAATATAAAAGAGTATTTTTTTTATTTCCTTTTTAATTCTTTTTTATTTTAAAGAATTTGATTTTTTTTCTTTTACTTTTTCTCAAGTTCCATTTGTATCAAATTGTTACTGTGGTTAACAATTTTAAGAGAATTTTTTTCTTCTAATCTTCAACCTTTCTTGATCCGAGATACTTCGGAATTATGGGAAAACGAGATAGTAAACAAATTTGTTTCAGGATTTATCTTGTCGTCTTAACGGATTTACTAGAATCTCAAGTGGACAAATCTGTGTAACATAAATTGTTGTAAAAGTAACTGTGGTTACTGATTTATTTCAAAATATTGATTATGTCCGATAACAAAATCTAAAATAAATGAGAATTAATTTTCTGTTTATTGAAATCTTTGATTTCGTATTTGAAATCAATTAAGATTTTAATTTTGTCACGTAACAGAATTATAAGATTTCTATTAATATAAATTTTGGGAAGTAACAACTCTGTTGTTGGTTTGTTTCAAAATATTTAGTTCATGATTAAATTATGTTGATTGAATAAATTAAAAAAAATTGATTTTGGTTTATTGTTGGAATTATTTCGTGTTAAACGGAATAATAGATAATCTCAGCGTTTAACCTAATTCCTGATTTGGAACATTGATTCCAGCTCAAACATTGAATTTAAATTCAACGATGTTGATGGTTGTAAGCCACAACAAGAAGCTTGTGCAATTCTAAAGATAGAATTTCAAGATGTGATAACATAAAATGTTATTTTATTTGGTCATTGTGAATTTGGCCAAATGTGAGATGATCCCCTTATTATTAGAGAGGATGAAGTAAATATTGTTACCATATTAAAATGCATAAGAATTAATTATGACATTTTAATATAGAATATTAAATATGACATGAATAAATAATACCATTTGATATTTATAATTATTATAAGCTATTATAATAATTATGGCTAGTGTTTAGAAACACTATACTATTAATTTCTTTTGAGAAATTTTATAAATACAAACAGATTTAGAGTTTAATTAAAGGTTTTTGAATACTGAGTTGTCAAAGTTAAAGGATTTGTTCCTTTTATTTCTGGTTGTTAATCAGAATGCAATTGCCTTGATATATCTATTTCGGAAGATATAACACTGAAAAAAGAGAAATAAATTGTTGAATTTATTTCATCTTAGAATCTTGCGTTGATTCTAACTTTGAAAAGGAATTAATTGTTGAATTTATTTTCCTATGAATCTTATATGATTCTGTTTGATAAAAGGAAATAAAATGTCAAATATATTTGCTTGAAAATCTAGATCGATTTCATCTTGTAGAAGAAAATAAATTGTTAAATTTAATTTTATAGAATCTTGTATGATCATGTTTTGTAAAAGAAATTAAATCATTTGATTTATTTCTTGAGAATCAAGTATGATTCTATCTTGTAAAAAGAAATAAATTGTTGACTTTATTTCTTGAAAATCTCGAATCAAAGCTTGGAAAACATGGTTTTCTAAGATATAATCACATTTTCAAATCCTTATCTGATGCACATTATAAAGTGTACAATGTTTAAATGGCTAAAGAATTATGGATGGCATTAGACCATGACACTAAAGAAATTTTAGTGGTCAAGTTATTAAAATTCACAATATTGGTGTCGTAACGTCTTTTCTGACGAACAAATAAGTTTTTGATGAAAACCCTAAATTATGACTTATTTGGGAAAAAATGAGTTTTTGTGTTTATTTTTGATTAAATTGATTTTGAGTCGCCATCATCCTTTGGGATAGGTAGGTTGAATACCTAAAAACGTCATTTAAAATAATTTTAAGAAAAATAATTTTAAAGACAAAAAACTAGTATGAGCTTGTCAAAGATTCATTTTAGGTTCGGGAGCCAATTACGCGTGGGGAATTGTTAACACCCCACAACGCCCAAAAAATTAGTACTTAATTGCTTGTATATTGTCATGGTGGAAATTAAAAATTTGAATCAAAATTTAAAGTTTGATCTTTTTATTAAATAATAATTAATTTGTTTCGAATTAATTATTAGGGAACATTCCTTAATTTGAGAAAAAATCATGGGATTTGCACATCCTCCAACGGGAAGGATATCTCATTTATTTCTCCTTTATACGAGAAATGTCTCCCTCCCCAACATGATCAAAAAGCACAAATTGAATATAAATTAACTATCGGTAATTGCATAAAATAAATTACTATTTAAAGAAACATGCATTGCATCATTTGAATTAAAATAAAAACAAATTAATCATTATTTATAAAAAATAAACTTGATTTATTTCAAATTCAGTTTTGTTAAAATATCGTATCGAAACGCACTACTTCGATCAAGTTGTGCTTTTCATGCCCATTCTACGATAAATGTTATTGAAAATATACGAGTAAAAAAGGATGAATGTATCGAACATACATATATTTTACAAATTTAATAAGTAATGATCTTTTAGAGAAAATGGATCTCACAAATATAATAAAACATAAACCTTGATATTCAAATAAAATGAAGTAAATAAATTAAAATGAAAGTGAACTACAGTCCATGATTCACAAATCAAAACTATGGCTAAATTAAAACGGTGGAAGAACTACAAGAGGTAACATGCAATAAACCCATGTTATTTCATATAATAAAAAAATAAAGCTGGAAATAATGACCAAAGCAACAAAAAAAAAGAGAGGATAAATTT